TAATCAGGCTAGCTGGATATCCACTACCCTGAAGGTCATTCTTTACTTCAATTCGGTCCGCTGTCCGACCAGCTTCTTCTTTACACGTCTAAACATTGATGAGGTAATACTAGCGGATACGGACTCCGGATGGGCAGACAAGTAGTTCGAAATCACCCCAGTGCCTGTTGGCTTCTCATACATTGTGGTCTTTAGTTCCCTACCGACCGTAAGTGTCATACAGTTGAGGAAGGTAGTGAACCCGAACTTGAATCTCCATACTAAATTTGATGTGTGGTCATTCGGATAGTTGTTGGCTCCTTTCATCACGACGAAATTGTCATCTACCTAACGCTAGTATATCTTTGGTAGGTACGGAAATCCGGAGAAAACAATCTTTTCAAAATTTTCCATACAATGTTTACCAAAACCGAAGATCTTGGAGATCCCATTGCTAGATCTTGTTCCTGGGTGTAAACACGGAGTCAACAACGAAGTGGGTGAGATTCAGGCATGCTTGTATGCCTTCCACTATTTCATCTACACTGAGTTGCATCCGTTCTGAAAGGTTGGTATCTACTAAGATCAGTCGCTTATCTGTTTGCAGAGTCCCGCCTTAGTAAATTTGTATACAAAGATTTAACATCGACACCTACAAGAATGTCATCCAGCTGTAAGGCGACACCCACTAGGTTGTTGGTAATGCCATACGAATTCTTAATGTAAGTGCTAGATTTTCGGTGAGGGGTTAAAAAATACCTGCTAAGAATCTGACAAGCTCATACGGTAGGGAAACTATTCCTCCTACTACCTGTCACACTGCGACATCTAGTTTATCGATTTCCGGTAGACCGTAAAGGTGTGATTGGATTGCACTTTTGGGGTGCAATCGATACCAATCACCTTGCCCCAGGTGGTTTATCACGGACTGCAAATAGCTGACAATTTCACCTTTACTCCTATTCATTATGGATGTAATATTCACACTACTGATCTGCCCGTAAGGATTTCCAACTAGATGTTCTTTTACCCTTTGTAGGTAATCAACTGCCCATGACAACAATGGCCTTACCCTTACCCGCTTTTGTAATCACTATATTGTCCAGCTGTTTTGAGAATGGAACGACTGTTCAGTCCTTCACTGAGTTGAAAATTTACGGAACGATCACGTTCCGTTGTTGAGGCTACATCTAGGTCCACTCTTGCATGAGTAAAATACAACAGGTACCGATGCGTCTTGAGGTATACCAAAGCTGAAGTATTCAGTGCATCATTTCGAGTGTTATGCTATGAAGACGAATTGCCGTAAAAACGGTTATTCCAGCGTTCGAATTTTTACTTCCACACGGGCTACCGGAACAAAACTCACTAGAAATCAATTTCTTACATGACAGCCTAGATGTTTGTCTGTGGGAATGAGTGAAAAAGATAGCTGGTATGCTGTAGAACAGAGAGCTCCAAGCAAATCGCATTCATCTTTAGAGCCAAAATAGTGTAAACACAATGGAGGTTCAGGTCCAAATGCATCTGATCCTATGCACAATATAGTACAGTACAGTTCAAATTGGAGTACGCGTGTAAAGAGGAGAGGAATATTAGCATGGAAGCCTTTGGTATAATTCGAAACAGTTGGTTCCCGAATTGTGTACAGTGCGTCCGGTCACAATGCTAGCCGATGGTGAAACGAGCTCATCCACACGATCTGTATGGGATGGAGTACAAAAGCGTAAGCTGGAACAGTCTCATTGAACACAAGATAGTGGTACGATTAGGGGAGAAAATGTTAGCGAAGTGGACAAAGGATCACGCATTGTTTCTAGTGGCAGGAACGATAAGACTATAAGGGTTATGATCAGTTCCCTTGGTCCACTAAACTACTAGGGTCAATACAGCTGTAGGAATCCAGAATGGTAAAAAATCTTACTGAACGGCCTAGTACTGACAGTATCGAGATTCGTTCGTCCTCTATTCCACTGCGTTGAGGTGAAGCTGACCGGTTATAAGACGGCTATCTCTCAATACGCGTATAGATTATACGCTGTTTGCTTGCTGTATAAGTTTCCGGAACAGTGGATATCGTTTTACCGCGTGCTGCCAACGAAAAAGTCAGCCCCGGAACCAAATGGACAACATGACCATCACATACAGACGACAAGGATCGAATATCCATATAGACTATCTATATGGACTTCGATGATTCATTTATCCATTGTTGTCTTTTAGTGCATTTTTCAGGTTTGCACATCAGTGTGCACATCACGTGGACTCGAAAATCAGACAAATACAGCAGGATCACCTTCCCCGACGCCTGCCTCCACGGACCTCAGTTATCCAAAGCCGTACGTGGTAGCAAAACGTTTTCTGTCACTCTCCTACAAGCATCAGTTGCCGCTAAAACTGTGGATGCGCCGGAGACCTCGAGACATATTCCTCCCGGCCGTGATCAAGCAACTGGCTATTGAGTAGAATGTTTCGAACCACACTTCAGTGGGTTATCTGATACTTCCTGCCGGGTCTAACAGCCTGTCACAAAAGTGTGGGTTGTGAACATGCAACTTTATTCAGCCTAGGAATTGCACGGGTGGGTATCCTCACTCACAGACAACTGAGCTTCCGGTTCGGACGACTTTTCACCTACCCTGTTCAAGAATGACGGCAAATTCCCCCACTCAGTGCTTGTCCAACATACCTGCGCCTATCCGGGAGAAAGAGACTGACCCAGATAGGTGAGATGAGTCAATAACGGTACACGCCTTCAAGATGTGTGCTCGTGGTGAGTGCGGCAGCCATAAAAGTGCCAACCTGACTACTATTGTACCGAGACCACTAGACTCACCGACTCTTTGCACTCCTAAGGCCGAACGCAAAAAAACTGACCTGTGAACATCAGGTGGGATGTTCAATGCAGAGTGTGAATAAGCCAAACTATCTCGCTCCGTTAGGTGTTGAAGGAGTACAATATGTACAGATGACCCAAAATCTTAGTGTTCCATGACTTCAAGGGTGCGTTCGGTTCTATCGATCAGTCAGTGCATCTGAGAATACCCCAGAACTTCGCGAACAGAATCCGGTTCTTGTATACGAATACGCTTGAACGGGAGAACGTATCCAGGGCTCTCCAAAAGCTTTCCTATGAAGAGTAGTGTGCTGGAAGAATCAACACTCTCTCTAGTTAATTTTTTTCATCGGTGAACTAATGAAGCTGGAGGATGTTCATATAACTGGTGGCGAGAACCCTGTCGAACCGGAGCAGGAAGATGGCATCATCCTAATCATTAAAGATAAGCACAACACAAAAATAAACACATAAACCGACCAATATCAAACCACCTTTCGGTTTGCGTCTTGCAAAGTGCATCAGAATAAGCTATTCTGGGGGAGCATTGGGGGTCACGGAGAGTTTTATGCATCTCGGCACGTTGCTAACTATGGCGGAAATGTGTCCGACGAATCTCGAAGACCCTAATCAGGTTGCCCGTATGCGTCACTTTTAGCCCCAAAAATCATAGCATCGCGTTTCAGGGTACTATGCTGATAGTTGCAGGACTTGGTCTCTGCTAGTGGATGATGTGGGACATCTTCAGGTCTTTGAACACCGATGCCTCAAAGGCCGTGTAAAAAAGCCTTGAAGGCGTAGTTAGGAAACGGGAGTGTAGTTGTGCGACCAAGACTCCAGTCGCGGAAAGCCCCCAGCACTATTAACTGCGGTGGCGCAAGCATACTGGATCTGTCGATAGAAATGTTCCCCTGTGTCTCCTTCAGGTCAACACAGACCACGAGAAGGGCGACACATGGCTTGGCAGACGGAAACAAAACGGATGACGGAAAGTTTGAATACCATCGGTGCGATCCGTTTTGCAGGACGAGGTTCCTCCGGCTTCCTCTGCGCCTGGCTCAAAGTGCTGCAGGATTTGGCGCCAAACCGATTTTCGTTCTGACAGTTTCCGTCTAGGTTGTCTTATTCAGTGGTTGGAAGTGCAGACATTCCATAGGCTAGCACTGGACGCCCCACTCTTCTTTCTTTACTGTACGGCTTCGGTGCATGTATGGCGGTGATGCAACAGTGTCAAAGTTGATGCTGCTTACTATGATGATGACGGAGATTTACGAAAACGTGAAGCGCTGAATCAGTTACCCACATTTGGTAGATGGAAAAGTAATTCTGAGGTGCTCAACTTATAACTCTTAGCCAAAGGGTCACAGTACGAATCGAATCACCTGATAAATCACAAAAAGGGCTAAAAAATTCGCACAGCCAAGCTACTCGGGTTATATATATATATATATATATATATAGTGAAACATAAATCGATTTGGAAGTAATTAGTGGCTGGAGTAGCTGTTAAGTTTTTCATCTCTAACATTAGTGCTCGTCAAATCGCGTGTGCAGATACGCACTCAGGTATAGCACCTGTTCGACGCATAGCTGTAACGCGACCTGTGGGAAGCACGGGGAGTAAATTACGATCAGACTGCCGAGGCCAAAGCGCTCAACATTTCCCTTTTCGAACCAGTTCGCTGGTCATCATCATCATCATCAAAGACAGCAAAATCAGTGTTGCCACTGATGCTTCACTGCCGTTCGCTGGTCCAGACCTGTCGGGCAGAAGTTGTGGATATGCTCGTGGGAATAATATAAACTGGTCCATAAGACACACCAAATGTCATCTTACATAAAGTGAAAAGTGATCAAAAGGACAATATCTTCTCCCCAGGCATTACTGGGTATATCCGAAAAGATCACAATCACATCACAAGTCTTAATTCGAACCAGCTATAATTCAAAACAATGTATACCTACAATGTAACCCTACAGTCAGCTGGCCCGCAACTAGTGTTGAAAAAGGTAACTCACTTTCTTGAATCGTGCTCTTTAGAGATGACGTCACTGTTTCAAACGACATTTGCTGCAAAGGTGATGGATGGCCAATGAATGCAGATCGGTTGAAAGCTCGATAGGATCCCGATTTGGTCATGTAGTCTGCGATCAATGACAGATGCCGCGAGTCGACATAGATACCGTAATGTCCGAATACGCCGGACACTTCCTGCAAGATAGACAAACCAAAGTTATTTGGTGCTGTCTTCGGAGTGGTCATGCGCATAGCGTACGACTACAATCACTGTCGGTGAATGAGTTAGAAAATGACTGTGGAAGAAGCTGTAAGCATCTCAAAGTGTACAGCTGGTCAGCGCCTTGTTTTCATTTCCTAGGAATTTAAAATTCACATACAGCCGGCTAACAGTTCCATCGGTGGGAGTAACTACGACTGTAAGTACAGTCGTAATGTAATTCATCCAAAAACAGACTTCTGTGAGGAACTTAAGCTAAACACGCCATTCGTGCTCGTCATTAAAGGTTGCTCTACTTACTGATTCCCGGGAAATCACGCGAAAAACTCCGAAACTCATGCAGGATGAGAAGGAAGCAGAAATTGTACTCACTTTTTGTATTGCTGCCCGAGCAGCTTCAATGCCATAAGTTTGACTCATGATAGCTATGTTATTGGTGTATAGTCGATTCAAGTCGAAAACAGCGGGGTACTGCATGATTTCCTGTCACATGAGGTTGGGCAAGCAAGAAAGAAAAAAGCATAGGAATTAAAGGATTCGGTAGGCCGAATAACATAGTACAGAATAGAAACCAAATGTTAGGAAAGAAGAGTCTCCATTGTTTATATTGGAGAAGAATATTTCGGACAACTATGCTGTGCGCAGGTAGGCCATGAAACCAGTGGTGTGTGACTGAACGAGCGTTGTACGTTTGTACGGGACTCGAGTCTAATCTGATCACGTAGTTCACCTGAATAATTCTCACTACACAATGTGCACTGCTAAGCCACAGACTGTAGAACAAACCGAAGTGGTCATCCCATACTTAAGTGAGAACCATCGCAAAAGAATCTCGGGGCACAGTAGATGAAGGG